TTCATGCTCTGTCTCTCTCTGTCCCAAAAATAAATAAAAAAAAACGTTGAAAAAAAATTAAAAAAAAAAAAAAGTTACACTGATTTACAGTGCATGTAACAAAGTTGACTATAAAGTGTTTGACTTTACTGTGTGAAACCTAACTGCCTTCCACTCATACCTGACCTGAACATTTATACATTTTTTTTAATTCTTGCTAATTCAACAGGATAAAAATCTAATGTTTTAAAAAGTGAACTTGAGAATATTTATTATAATATGTTTACTGACTGTTATTTTTTTCTTCTATGAGTTGTATCTTTAGCCCATTTTTCTATTGGTTTACTTATCTTTTCTTATTGACTTGAAGAAATTCCTTTGAATGCTTTGCAAAGATTTCTCCCAGTTCATTTTTTACCTTTCGATTCTTGTAATACAGAAATGTTAAATGCTTAATGTAGTCAAATTGGTCAATCATGATGGCTTATAGGTTTCATGCTATGCTTAGAAAAACTTTTTCAAACCTCCAGAAAATTAAAATACTCTCCTATATTTTCTTTTGACATTTTTATGATTGTTTCCGTATTTTATTTAGCAGATTTTTATTGAGCAAGGCACATACACCAGACGCTCTTTGAAGCTGGATATGTAGGGTGCCTGGGTGGCTCAGTCGATTAAGCATCCGACTCTTGGTTTGGGCTCCAGTCATGATCTCGCGGTTCATGAGTTTAAGTCCCACATTGGGCCGTATGGTGCCTACTTGGGATTCTCTCTCTCTCCCTCTCTCTTTCCCGCCCCTGTTCACTCTCTTTGTCTCTCTCTAAATAAATTAATTTTAAAATTTTTAAAAAAAAATAGAAGCTGGACATGTACACATAGTTCCTAAATTCATGGAGTTATATTCCAGAGTTGGAGACAGACAATAAGCAAATGAATGAATAAGCAATTACAAAATTCAAAGCACTACGACAAATTAATGGAGAATAACAGAGAGCATGATTACAAAAGGCAAAATTTAAACAAGGCTCTGAAAGACGAGCAATAGCCAGTCATTGAGGTGAAGATCATTCCAGGCAGAAGAAAAGGCCCAGAGGAGGAAAAGAACTTGGACTTTCTTTAGGAACTTAAAGGAGGCCAATGTGACGTTAATACTGTGAGCAATGTAGTGGTCAGAAGATAAAGGGCCTTATAGACCAAGATGAAGGTGAAATTAATGGGTGCGTTGAAGACCCAGGTAAGGAATCAATTTTATTCTAAGTGCAGTGGGACACCACTGAATAGATTAAGGTGAAAAAGTATCTGACGTATCTGAGTTATTTAAAAGAATGTTCAGGTTTTCTTGAGAATGATGTAAAGCAGGTAAGAGATGAAGCAGGGATCCAGGAAGGAGTCTGAGGGAAAGGATGCTGGCTTATTAGATAGTGATCAGGGTAGATAGGGAGAGGGGAAGATTCAAGAACCATCTGAGAGGACATTGACATGACTTGTTGATGGAGCAGATGTGGGTGATAAGGGAGAAGTAAGAATTATCTTGACCTCTACGTTCTAGTTTGAGTGATTAGGTGGGTGGCGGTACTATTTCTTGAGAAGTATAGATTGGAGAAAGATGGGGGGGGGGGCAGGGAGTCCAACAATCACTTTCAGTGATTATCATGAGTTTGAGATTATCATGAGACATTCAAGTGGATTTATCAGGTGGGTACAAGTTGACCAGTGGTGCAACATTGGAGCTGGGGAGAGAAGACTAGGTAGGAGGTAAAAATTTGGAAACTGCTGGCTGTTACGCACCTGAGTCCAGGAGAAGAGTATAGAGAGAAGAGCAGAGGCCCTGACTATGAGCCCTGAAGAACTCAGAATGTTTGGGAGTTGAACTAAGAAGCAGCCATCAATGTAGACTGAAGAGCAGTCAAGGAGGTAAAGCAGAAAACCAGGAGAGGTTGGTATCTCAGAGATACAGACAGGAGGAATAGCAAATAGCAACAAATGCTAAGGAGAAGTATCATAATATAGAAAGACCAAAAAGCATCCATTACAGTTGACAACAAAGACCTTCACTGATGATATTGGCAAGAATGGTGTTAGGAGAAAAAGGAGGTATTTAGTGGAATAAGAAGTTGTAATCTGAGAACCATGGCAACTCCCTGAGAGAAAACTGAGAATTTCATGGGAGACTTCTGTAGATATACAGCCTTCATCAGGTGTTTCTCAAATTTTGCTGTGCATTAGACTCACCTAGTTAAACGTACGGTTGCCTGCGTCCCAACCCCAGAGCCTGACCCTGTGGTCCCAGGGCCAATATTTTAATTCAGTTCTTCAGACGACTCTGATACATAGCAAAGTTTGAGAATTGCTGCCTGAACCCAAGGCTTCTCAAAATGGAATTTCAGATTCTACGTCTGAGGGAGAGAGGGAGGATGGAAGGACAGAAGGCCTTTCGGTATCTTTCAGATCATATCACATAAGCAAGCTGCCTACTTATTCTTTTATGAAAACAGTGACCATACAGAAAAATACATCACTTGGCCTTACATTGAGGTGTTTTAACCTGAAAATAAATTAGACTCACTGCATACAAGCTGAACCCCCTACTTCCCCTGCCTGTTTGTTATATCCAAAGATATAACAGAGTTGTTGGCTCAAATAGCACTCACAGGTGAAATTCCACCCCCCCCTTCTTTTTTTTAATCAAGACCCACCCAGAATTCAAAAATGTCTCGTATTCCATCGTTCTTCTAACCGACTAGATGGTCTAAGACTGAGACCATCTCCTTAAAGGCAAATCAGCCTCTGGTTTGGGAATTCGGTTACCTCCCTTTGATTCAGTAACCCCACTCCAGGCAAGCACTTTTACGTACGTTAACGAATCCTCGGATGAACCTTTTGAGGCAATTACTTTTATTTCTAGTTTATGGATGAACAACTGTGACTAGACTAAATGGAGCTGAAATAAGTTATTAAAGATGTCTCAAAAATAGCATTCCTTGGCTCTGTGTAGACCTGACGGTCTTATCCCTATTATGGAAGGAAATATGGGTGGTTCATTGCCCATGTGATTCTGGTATTTGTCTTTCCTACCACTCTTGGCCCTGCTGTGTAGATCAGATTGTTAACAGCCCAGGCTCCACTATCAGCTGGATTTTTATTCTTTGCCAACGTGGACGAGGAACACATTGTCCTGAAGTACGTGAGCATGAGCTCTAGGGTTCAAACCCTGACTCTGCCCCTTTGTAACTCAGTATCCTTGGATAAGTCATGTAGCCTCTGCAGGCTTCATTGTCCTCATGTGAAAATCAAAGGGCTCTCAAAAAAGACGTTGTATTAAATGATATATATCTCAATATTCAGTAACGATTATTTATAGCAAACCCCATTACAGCCCTCAGTCAAACCCCAATCTTGCCCAAATGCCCCATAGGATATATTCCTAAAATATTTTGGGGGGAAGGTACTGCTATTTCTTATTCCTTTCTAACCCCTGATGGTGTTATTTCAACCATGTTCTCCCTCTCTTCTGATAGCCACCCGCTTTCATAAGCTCTTCATTTGGGTCCTGAAAGAGAAGCTGTGTTCAACCTCATTTCTTTCTAAACCCAGCATCAATATAGACCCAGTTACCCAGGAAAATTGAGGAAATGGAAGAACTTTGCCAAAATTAACCAACTTCATAATGAAAACATATTCAAACCTCTAATATCTAAAAATACAATCTTTTCCACAACATCCCTGCTCCCTTGTCGTGTCAATAATGGTTGGGTACTTCTGGAGTTGGAAAACTCCAGAACATTCCATAGCTCTAGCTAGCAGAAATTTCTTCCTAATGTCCATTAAAATCTCTGTCCTATAGTTTTCATCCTACCCTTAAGGACCATGAAGAACTTAGCCTATCAAATATCTAGCAAAAGTTAGGAGAGCCTTCTTGAGTCTTCTCTCTCCCAGCTACATATTCCCAGTTACTCCTTCCATAACAAGGTTTCTGGTTTCTCCATCATCATGTCTGCCATCCCCAAATACATTATTCATCTCTTCCCCTCGCGAAGTGGGCTACCCCAAAACTAAGTGCAAAGTGGGGTCTAACCAGCACAGAAAGCAGGTTTATGCCAACTGTGTTTTTTCTTTTCTTTTCTTTTTTTTAATGTTTATTGACTTTTGAAAGAGAGACAGAGACAGAGTGTGAGCAGGGGAGGGGCGGAGAGAGAGAGGGGGACACAGAATCCGAAACAGGCCCCAGGCTCTGAGAAGTCAGCACAGGCCCGATGTGGGGCTCGAACTCACGAACAGTGAGATCGTGACCTGAGCTGAAGTCAGACACTCGACCGACTGAGCCACCCAGACGCCCCTACCCCGCCTCTGTTCTAAACAAAGATTCTTTTACCCAGTTAACATGATAAGCATTTAGATACCCCCATAAGATTCGTAAGGTGGAAGTGAGGTGAAATCCATTTTCCTACATTCTGCTATTGCCACTAGCAAAGGACAGCAGTGGAGACTGGGATTATTCTGCAACAGAATGAAGTTTCCTGATCACCAGCTTTAAGGGTCATAGAGACAACTATGAAGACATCTGGAGCGGCTTCCTGATTCCAGGGGTAGCCTCCTGATTCCTCTCTGATAGACACTCCCTGGGTGGACCAATCGCCCAGTTTTTTTCCCGGAGGCCCACCCTACCGCGTGATCCTGCAGCACATCCAACGATTCCAGAAGCACCCGAGTCCTTGTATTAAATCTCTTACGGCTTAAATGGATGCAGTGCCTTCTGTTCCCTGCAATGGCGTGCTAACAATTTGGGCCAATGAAGATCTCAGAAGACAGAAAACATTATAGCAATTTAAAGGTGTTGCTTTGGGAGCGCCTGGGTGGCTCAGTCGGTTGAGCGTCCGACTCTTGATTTCAGCTCAGGTCATGATCCCAGGGTCATGGGATGGAACCCTGTGTTGGGCTCCATGCTGAGCGTGGAATGTGCTTAGGATTCTCTCTCTCCTCTATGCCTCCCCCCCACTCACACTCGCTCTCTCTCTCTCAAATTAAAAACAAATAAAATTTAAAAAAATAAGAATAAGTCAATAAAATGTCGCTTTGTACTCACACGTATGTGATCCCCATGGGACCGGAGCTGGACGGGCCAATGGTTGGACCTGTGGGTAGATGAACATGGGAAACACTATCCATGGGTTTATCCCATAAACTCACAGGGTACCAACACTGATTCCATCTATATTATTGATTGAAATATCTAGTTTGTCCACAATTCTAAACCCTGCTGTTTCGGCCAGGACTTGTGGTCACAAGGGACAGAAACACAACTCAAAAAACTTAAGCAAAAGAGGGGAGGATTAATAATAATCCAACAGCGTAAAAGGCAGGGGGAGACATGGCCTTAGGGACAACTAAACCAAGGATCAAATGTTCTAAAAGGTCTCTCTGTTCATCTCTCATTTCTGCTTCCCTCCGAACATTAGATTTATTCTCTCAAACTATCTTACCTAACAGACGGGCATTTATGGCTGCTGGCTACTCCAACTTTGTATCCCAAATGCTCTAAAACCAGAGGTGTAAATAAAGGCCCTCTTCTCCCAACCGAAATTTGAAAAATCCCCCGACAAAAATTCCGAACATGGTTTTGGATCTTTTGCCCATCCCTTGGACCAATCACTGTGGTCTGTGAGTGAGGTACTAGGAACGGCCCGCCTGGACCACATGATCACCACAATCGCCCTGTGGCCAGGGGCGCAGAGTTCATTAGCAAGGGACAGCAGGAGAATAGGCACTGAGCGGACAGCAATATTCACCCCCAGTACGGAACCGATCTGAATGACTCGCCAACTGCAGCTGTCAGGCTTTTCATTTTTTTTAAGTGTATTTATTCATTTTTGAGAGGGGTAGAGGGGCATGAGAGGAGAGAGAGCGAATCCCAAGCAGGCTTGCATTGCCAGCGCGGAGTCTGATGCGGGGCTCGAACCCACAAAATATGAAATCGTGGACCTGAGCCAAAATCAAGAGTCGGTTGCTTAACCGACTAAACCACCAGGTGTCCCAGCCGTTGGTAGGCTTTTGGATGCTAACTCTTCTCAGAGGATTTAAAACCACCGACCTGACCACTACATTGAGAAGTCCAAGGAACACGTTTCTGAAAGATTTCATCCATGGAGGACTTTGAAAATAAGGCACTTATCTCAAAGTCAGTTATTTGGCTATATCAAACATTCAGAATCTAGAAATAGGAAAAAATAAATAAACAGCCTTTGAATAATTACGAGAGGTGTTTTAAAACTCAAGTTGTTGGGGCGCCTGGGTGGCTCAGTCGGTTAAGTGTCCGACTTCAGCCAGGTCACGATCTCGCGGTCCGTGAGTTCGAGCCCCGCGTCAGGCTCTGGGCTGATGGCTCGGAGCCTGGAGCCTGTTTCCGATTCTGTGTCTCCCTCTCTCTCTGCCCCTCCCCCATTCATGCTCTGTCTCTCTCTGTCCCAAAAATAAATAAACATTGAAAAAAAAATTTTTTTAAACAAAAATGAAGACCTTCCATACTCTTAACCTTAAGAACCTGAGACTGTGCTATAAGAAGAAAGAGGGCATAATGTTTTTTCTTCCCCAAATAATAGGCAATGATGAGCTCAGAGAACGCTAAGGTGAACTGATAGACCCTTCCAGGGACCATTTGAAGTTTTAGAAACAGAGATTAGAAATCAAGTACTCTGTGTCCGTTTCCTTCTACCCCGGCGCTAGGCTTTCAGATAAGTATTCATTTCTCCATGAGACAGAGGCTGTCATGGAAAAGCTACTCTGCCAGAAAGAATTTAGGACACTTGTACAGAACTGGGCTAAATCAGAGATATTCTCTGGTCAGCTGGCCATAATCTGCCATTTTCAGATCTCTTGAAACTGAAAAGATTTTGTGGTTTATGGTTGATTCACATGACAAGGAAACAAGAAAGTGGGTGGGGTGAGGAATGAAGTAAAAACTCCCATCATGCATTCCTTTAATAGGTATTTATGGAAGGCTCAATACATGCCAGGCTGATGTTACAGTTAGTTATCTATTACTATGTAATAAGCTATCTCAAAATGTAGTTGCTTCGGCAGCAATTTAATTTTGCTCATGAGTTTTGAGAGTCAAGGATTTGGGAATGGTTGAGCTGGATGCACTTGGCATTTGTTGGCTTGGTGAGCTGGAGGGTTTACTTCAAAGGTGGCATCTCCCCTCAAATGTCTAGAACCTCAGGGCTCCTTGGCCATTCTCTATCTGTCTCTGCCTCTCTCTGCCTCTCTACATCTGTTTCTCTATCTTGCTCTCTCATCCCCCCTCCCACCTTCCCCCCACAGGATGTCTCATATTCTGAGGCTTCTCCACTTTGCTTGGATTTTTCACAACATGGCTATCTCACAGTATTTGTAGTCCTTATGAGATGACTAACTTCACCGTGGCAAGTGTTCCAAGAAACCCAACTGGAAGCCTTAGAAGTCCCTGCACATCACTTCTACCACATTTTCTTAGTCAAAGTGAGTCATTAAAGCCCACCCAGATTCAAAGTGAGGGAAGGAATAGGCTTCACTTTTCCACAGGGGGTGTGGCACGCAGATACAGGAAGGGAAGGACTTGATGGTGGCCATCTTGAAGAGAAACGACCACATATAGATAAGGATCTAGATATAGTCTGTCCTCCCAGAAAGAATGGATGATACAAACAAGTAAACAGGCCCTTACAATGATACAAAAGGTATACTGTGGAATAGGAATAGGAGTTGAAGGAGCTCAGACTTGAGAGGTCAAGAAAGGATTTCTGGAGTAGAAAATATTTAACGTGAGACCTGGGCCAAGCATGAGGTGGTTGTGCAAAAGGGAGGACAGAAGAGTCAGTGTTCTAAGTTGAGAACAATGTTCTAGAAGACCCAGGAAAAAAGAGAGAAAGAGCATTTGCGTAAAAACAACCCTGAAATAGGGGCGCCTGGATATCATGTTGAACATAATCTATAGTTGAGTGGAGGGAGAAATAAGGAGACAACCAGGAGGCTGTCAAAATAATCCACATGACAGGGGTGCCTGGGTGGCTCAATCGGTTGAGCGTCTGACTCTTGATTTTGGCTTGGGTCATGATCCCAGGGTCATGGGATCTTGGGCTCCATGTCGGGCTCTGCATGGAAGGTGGAGCTTGCTTTAGATTCTCTCTCTCTTTCTCTGTCAAATAAAAAATAAAATATGGGGCGCCTGGGTGGCGCAGTCGGTTAAGCGTCCGACTTCAGCCAGGTCACGATCTCGCGGTCCGGGAGTTCGAGCCCCGCGTCAGGCTCTGGGCTGATGGCTCAGAGCCTGGAGCCTGTTTCAGATTCTGTGTCTCCCTCTCTCTCTGCCCCTCCCCTGTTCATGCTCTGTCTCTCTCTGTCTCAAAAATAAATAAACGTTAAAAAAAATTAAAAAAAAACCCAACAACCCTGAAATAACCCCAATATGTCAGAACAGTAGGGTGAAAAGATATGAATGTTGAAAGATGAAATTGAAGAGAAAAAAAAAAACGAACATAAATCCCCACTCTTTTCTATGTAAAGGTAGATATGTGTTAAAAATACGCTCTTAGAGCAGTGCCTGGGTAGTTCAGTCCGTTAAACCTCAGACTTTTGATTTTGGCTCAGGTCATGATCTCATGGTTGTGAGATCGAGCCCTGTGTCCAGAGCCTCCTTGGGATTCCGCACCCCCCCCCCACTCTCTCTCTACCTCTGCCCCTTCCCCACTCATGCTCTCTTTCTGTGTCTCAAAAAAAAAAATACATTTTTAAAAAATGGGTCCATGCCATTCATAAGGTTTTGTGGTACACATTTCATCACTTTATGTTGTTAATGTCTTTTCCTTCTCAGTAAGTACACTTCTAAGACACTGCTTTAAATCTGTGTATAATATTCATTTATTGTCTCTGTTACTTTATTTACTCAATCTCTTAGTGTGGGATAATTAGGGCATTATTTCCAATTTCTTTTTACATTTCCCCTTATACTTAAATCTTCATCGTTTTGGATGATAATTTCCTAGATACACAAGTTCTGAGTCGATATATAAGAACACTTTTTTAAGGTTTTTGATACACAGTACCAAAGAGTTTTCCAGAAATTTTTATTCATGTTTAACGTCCCACAACAAGGTGAGAAAGTGACGACTTCCCTATACACTTCCCGCCAATAGGAAAAATCATTGTGTTTCTAGTTTTGATCAATTTGATACGTTTCAGTTTACATTTCTGTCATTACTGGGGAGACGGAAATTTTTGATGCTAGTAGTTCTTTTCTTATGTCAGCTTCTGAAGACGACAAACTTATCAAAACTAGATGTGAGTAGACTTCAAACCTGAAAATGCTATAAAACATAATAGGCAAAATTTAATCCACTGGTACATTTCGATGTCGTTTGATAATACCTCTGTCTGCCTCTCTTTCCCCTTGAATGCTTCTGTGTTTGAGCTGTTCTGAAACAGCCACAGCAACTTTGTAGAGAAAGGAGGAGAGGAAGTCAAGGGTTGTGACATATCAGAGACCCGGACTAAGTTCAATTCCAGTTAAATAGGGTGAAGTGGGGTGAGTGGGGGCCTTATTTCATTCATGATAGCTCACTGGCTCCCTCCTTTAATGCATTTAATGGTCCTGTGAATTTAATGACCATTGCAATTAAAGTCACCCTGCTTAAGCATTGTGAATTACATTATGCTTGTTAGTGGCTGCCTTTGATAAAACATAATAGCAAAGTCATCTCTTTTACATCATAAGTCATTTTAAATATTGCTTTTCTGTATCTGTCCTTGCCCAATTGATTTATTACCTGGTACTCCTAAGAAGTGCAATAAAAAGAAAGTTAGGTCTTGAGTAATTCTTCCGGTGTCTGGATAAACAGGCAGCCAAGGGGGACCATGGCCTTCTGATTGGTTAGCCTAAAAATGAAGATGGAAACGAGGGTGGCAATCGGGAATTAAATTAGACGAGTTATACAAAAGGAAAATATTGGTTTTTTGTGGCCTCTTTGCTCTTCTCCCCTTAGGATGGAAACTCAACAAAGGTCACGTCTCTACCAGGAAGACTTGAGACACAAACGTATTCAGATAAGCCAGGGAAGTGGATCAGAGAGTCAGGAATGGGGACAGGGGACAGAAATAGTGCTAGAAATATGGCATGCCTGCTTTTGTCTACTTAACTTTATGAATGAAAATTTCGACAGCGATCTTTGTAACCAAAACTGAACAAGAATCTGTTGAAGTCAATGTTGATTACTGAAGCAAAAACAAACAAACAAAACCAAAACAAACCACCTCAAAAAGCCCTCATGTTGCTGTGTTATTAAGCACCTCAACCCTAAATCATGCGAACTGTTGTTGTCATTTTCTTCTTCATTTTGCTCCAGGAAACCAGGTCTCAGCCTTTTGGTCATTCAGTCCAAATAGCTTCCTGGAGACAAGCCCACCGATGCCTAATGTTCATGTGAATCCATAACCCTTTCATCCAAAATCTTTGTCCTTACTCATAACATTCACACTTGGATGCATTTGGAGAAGGTAAGGGAGCAGCTGTGCTAAATATAACAAAGCTCAATGATTCAGTGCGTGATTTCACTCTGATTAGTCCCAAATGACAACGCAGAATTACCAGTGATAAAATGTCTTTTGGGGTACACCATCAGGATCTCAGAGAACAAGGGAGGATTCTCACCTGGTATATTATTTTGGTGCTTCCTCCTTAGCTCCAACCGGCTGTTCTGTGATGCCTCCATAAATAATAGAACAAAGGGTTCTCCATTCCGCACACCCAGCCAAAGTTCTTGAGTTGACAAATATAAAGAAGAGTTCACAAATCTCCGTGCAATACCGTCTGCTAACAAAATTACTTGTTGAGAGACAGAGTGGTTTTGTAGAAAATACACTACACCTGAAACAGGGAGACCTGGGTTTGAGACCCATGTCTGGACCCACCCTGCTCTCTTTCTTTAGATGAATTATTTTAACTTCAAGAGACTTCAATTTCCTCATCTATAAAAAGAAGGGTTGGACTATACTAATTCCCTCTTGCTCCTAAGGACCATGATTCCACTTTGCTGTCCTGATCACTTCCACTGGATGTTCTGATATAAATTCAGTGGTTTGGGGGCACCTGGGTGGTTCAGTCAGTTAAGCGTCTGACTCTTGATTCTGGCTCAGGTCATGATCTCCCGGTTCGTGGGTTCAAGCCCCACATCAGGCTCTGCACTGGCAGTGTGGAGCCTGCTTGGGATTCTCTCTCTCTCCCTCTCTCTCTGCCCCTTTCCTGCCCGCACTCTCTCATTCTCTCTCTCTCTCTCTCTCTCAAAAAAAATAAGTAAATAAACTTAAGAAAAATTTTAAAAAATAATAAATTCAGTAACCTTTTTTTCCTCTCAAAATATTTTTTCCATGAAGATACTCATATTCATTCGGAAGGCAGTGGTCCCCTTATGACCTGGAAGAAAAGAAAATAATGACATAAAAGCTTTAGAAGAAATACAAGTAATAATAATAAATGGATACAGACCCATGTAATAGTGTATATGCACACACACACACACGCACACCTTCAGTTTTGAGTTGCTAATTCACCGCAGGCAAAAAACATTGCTAATATAGTTACACAATGGGCTTGAATCTCCTCTCTCATTTTTAATAAGCGCTCGATTTATCCTTCAATTTTAGTCCGCGTCCTTACATTGCTGTGATTACTGAAGACTGTTTCCATCCTAAATTGCTGCAGTAGACATCTTCTTAGATCTGTGAGTTGCCTAAATTCTATTGTTTCTTGGGAAATAATAAGAGCCACCAGCACAAAAGGGCATACTTGCATACCACTTTAAGGTTTGTATTATTTAGAGTTAATGTCATACCCACCAGGATTGTATTAGTGGCACCGCACATCAATTCAGAAGATGACATCTATCATTTCACCAAAACAACCTTCCAGAAATAAATGACTAACATTAAATAAGTATCATGTGTTAAAACAAGATTGATCCAGGGTGCCCAGAGGGGTCTGTCAGTTGAGCGTCTGACTCAGCTCAGGTCATGATCCTGGGTCGTGGGATCGAGCCCTGAGTGGCTCCACACTGAGCAAGGAATCTGCTTGGGATTCTCTCTCTCCCTCTGCCCCTCCCCCATTCGCCCTCCCTCTCTCTGTCTCTGTCTCTCTGTCTCTCTCTCTCTTTCAAAACAGAACAAACCACGGTTGATCCAAAACACCCTCTAAAAAAGTTGGTCAGACAGTTGAAGTAATAAAATGTAGAGTAAATACAATGAAATGGGCACTCTAAAACCCATTAATGAAAATAGATGTGATTGTTTCAGTCTTTCTGGAAAATAATTTGGGAAAATGCACCCAGAGGCTTAAAAAAAGTTTGTGCCTTAGTGATTTTAGTTCTATTCATGTATCCTAAGGAAAAATGTGAAGCACAAAGATATTTTTAAATATATTCGTGTACGAGGGGTGCCTGGGTGGCTCAGTCAGTTGAGTGTCCGACTTCGGCTCAGGTCATGATCTCACGGTCCGTGAGTTCAAGCTCCCCGCCAGGCTCTGTGCTGACAGCTCAGAGCCTAGAGCCTGTTTGAGATTCTGTGTCTCCCTCTCTCTCTGCCCCTCCCCCACTCATGCTCTGCCTGTCTCTCTCTCTGTCAAAAATAAACATTAAAAAAACTAAAAAATATATATATTCATGTACGAATCATTTATGATAAATGAAAATTGGATCTAATCTAAATGAGGAATAGAAGGTAATGGTTTAGTAAATTATGGCCTATCCATATGATGGAACATTATGTAGTCACCAAAAATATACTTTGTTAGAATTTTTTAATGGCACAGAAAATGCCTCTGATATTCTATTAAGTGAAAAATGTCATAAAATTATATGTTAGAATTTAATCTCAAAACTTTCATACCCAGTAAAAATAGAACACAGTATCTCAATATTGTATTATTATTATTATTATTATACTCTTCTTCTTTAAGTTTTTTGTAGTCTCCAAATTTGCCAAGTTGGGCGTCTGCTTCTTTTAAAGTCAACAAAATACCCAGAGACATTAAAGATGATTTGTATTGAGAGGTCTGGAGTAGCCAGAATGCTCAGAGGAATGAACTATTTTGGTGGATTTAATGTTGTGACAAACTACAAATTAATTAAGAACCCCTTTCTGAATCTCTTTGGTGAGAAGCCCATCATCAGCCACCAATTGTTTTCTGAATCCGTACCAAATCCTTGATTCAGGGCCCCGAAGGCTACCATGTGGCCCAGACCAGGCACCTTGCAGAGATTCCAAATCACTACCGTTTGGTGTTCACCAAGAAAGTCTTCACAAAAAGTCTTCACTGACGACACAAGGGAGTCCTGCGGACCGGACAGGATTATAGCACAACCTCCCCACCCCACCTCCAGGCTGAAGAACTGGATGGACCAAAGCACAGAGCGGGAGGGAAAGTCAGGGCACGTCTGGGATCAAGAAGTCAAGAAGACATCTTCCTAGAAAGAGCCAGGGTCTTTGAGGGAGTGCCGGGGCACGGTTTCTCAAGGTCATCAGTTCCCTTTCCAAAACAGTAACTAATGGTCATAACTGAGTCTTTGCTTAATTACTGTAGATATTGTGGTTCCTGGACCATCCATGGGAACATTAAAAGCCACAACATACTTCATAAAAGCCCATGTCAAAGCCGCAAGATACTGTTCTAAATGACAACTGTAATCCCCTACCTTCATATAGCGCCTTTCTGTTTACAAAGCTTATCACCATTTCACCGATAAGGAGACACAGTCACAGACATCTGATGAATCATCCCCATTACGCCGCGCACGCAAGTGACGGGTGGGTTCCAATCTTGGAACTCCTTAGCATTTCTTTCTGCCCCCAAGCTGCCTCTGACCCAGGGACACACTCCCTCGAAACCCACTTCTCCTCTACCTCTTCCCCAATCTCATTTTAATCATTGTCCTTGTCGGCTTTCTTCTTGGATTATAAAGTACGGGGGGTTCTGTTTAGACTGGGTCTGGATTCTTCAAAGCAGTTCTCCACTTTCAAAGTGCTTTCACACCTCATTTATCCTTACAACTTCTCAGGTAATTCCGACAAATTGAAAACTTTACTTTCGTCTGAGTACACCGAGGACAGAATGGGACGCGGAGGGGGTGGGAGCAGGGAGGGGGGCGCTGGGGGGGGGGCAGGAAGGGGCGGCTAATTTACACACGCTTGGATTCCCTCTGTGCTGCACACACTGAGGCAGAAAGGGCCCTAGGTCCTTGGACCCTAGGGCCCTAGGACCATGCGCTTTGGTCCTTCTCAGGTTGACAGGCTCCTCCTGGAAATGTCAAAGGTATAAAATCCCCCTTTACAAATTCCATTTTTGTTGTGCCACTTTTCTACCAAAGCCTCTTTCAACAGTCGGTTCCATTAGAAAAACCGTTCTGTCATATGGTTTCAAGTAATCTTTACACTTCTAACATCGAATATGGCTGCCAAGTATTATTGCAAGAACTAAATAGATGACATCTGGAAAGAAGAATGTAAAAACCCACTGTTTCATGACCCCCACCTGTGTCTTTCCAGGCAGCGTGAAAAGGAGAGGGAAAGCAAGCAGCCAAAAAGGGATTCTCAGCAACATCCTCCGGAGGAAAACAGGGAGGAGGGACACATGGTAAAAATCGGAGCTATCATCTGTCTGTGTTGTCCTGATTTACCAAACGCATTTCAAACACTGAGGGTGAAGCAGAAGGTTGCATATTCAGCCAGTCAGTTCAGGAGATTTTCCCAGCCAGTCGTCTCTCCCAAATTCAGAACCTATTGCTTAAGACATCAGACTGGTGGCGGAACCGAGCCCGGATTTAATGAACAGATAAACCAATGATACTGACTGAGCATCTCCGATGGCCCTGTCCCGTAGAAAATATGGGACAGTGTAACTTTGGGCAAAACATTTTATGCTTCTTAACTCCAGGCTACCCTGTCTGGGAAATGAGGAAACTAATGACACCGGCTCTTCTAAACTGACAGAGTTATTGTGAGGCGCAAATAAGGTAATAGATGCGTAAGCTCTAAAGTGCCAGAGAAATGCAAAGTAACATGATTATATATACAATGAACCAGTAGGTCTGCCCCTTGCTCGCACGGAGCTTGCAACCAATCTGGAGGAACAAAGCATCAACATATCCAATGTAAGTACCAGCATAAGGATTACATTAGAGAAGAGACAACGTGACAAGTGGTTTGGCAAGATAATATGCAATTATTTGCAAGTGAGAGGTACAGACAATGAGATTTATGAATTTTAAATAGGTGACGATCTCAGCGAGCTGGAGCGATGGGGACAGGCTGTGTGGCAGAAACAACTCGCGATCTGGCCTTGGAGGGTGAGTAGTAGGTCGGGCAAGAAAAACACGTTATCGTCCCTACAGCCAACCTGAGCTCCTTGCCCAGACCCAGGTAGAGACATGCGGAGATAGAATTCACAAACCACGACAGCCCGTGGTCTACTGTCTGAGGCCAACTGGGTAAGACTCCACCATCATCAAGAAGCAGAGTGAGCTTCAGAAGAAGTCCCTGGACGTTACCATAGAAGTTTAACTTGGAATTGTTTGGCTGCCCCATAACCAAAAACCACCCAGACCCTCATACTCTTCTTCGCCACCCCCTTCTCATTCAGATTTGTCTTGCCTGTTAAAACTGCAGGGTGTCTCGCAGGAAGACGATATAGTCAGTCACCCAGCAGTTGTGTTTCCGAGGTGAGTCGGTCACAGCGTGGTTGGCTGTGGTTGGCCAAGAAATTCCAAGTAGGAAACACAGACGCAAAGATAGCAAACACAAGATGGGCCTCATTTCAAAACCATTCACTTAGCAATGACCGTGTTAGAAGTCTTTTTATCTATGAGGATGCATGAGGTCACAGGCCAAAAGGGAGTGGGGGTGGGGGGGAGGCTGTGAAGTGTATCTGAGTTGCTTGGAGCAAGGTGCTAATGCGACCAAGTGCAGAGGTTTCACCTCCCACCCATTCAGTTCACCGACCAAAAAGCAGCAGTCACACTTTTGCCGGACGTAGGATGCAGTCGAATTTCATCCAGCCATCCCACTGGTGCAAAGTGTGGGTTGTGACATAGTTCAGAACAAGGTGCAAATGGCTCCATCCAACACATTTGCTATGCCTCGACACCTGGACAGCAAGTCAATGCCCAAGGCGCGATCCGGTCCCTACTTCCTTCTTCCCAAAGGCTTTCGCCACTGGTCCGGCCACCATCATCCAGTATGTCGAAAACATTTCCCGATCCACGTCTGTGCTCAAGCTGTCTCTCCTGCCCTGAGGCCTTCCATGTCCCTCCTGCACAGCATCGATTCAAACCTGCTTCCTCCACAGGGCCACTTCTGGTGCCCCGATTTTCATGGTCTTCCCACTGCCTGAACTCCTGACATAGCCACAATGCTTTTCATTTTGGCCCTGGAGCTTCAGCACGGTACTTTGTACACAGCAAGCTCTCCTTTAAATGCTTAAGAAATAAATTTCAGTGACATACGGTAGAGTAGGGGGTAGTTAGAAAGAGCAGGAGACAACTTCTCTGGACTTACCTGTTTGGGGTATAAATGCCTGGTCTTCCCAAATAGCACATCAGCAACAGTATCAAGGACAGCAACGGAAGTGGAAACCCTAGGAAGCAGAAGAGCGATGGTGGTAGTCCTTGATTCCTTAATAATATGAGACAAGAGGAAAACGTCTGGCTCTAAATAGAGAAGAACTAACTACATGATCGAAGCCATTACCTGAGTAGTTTAGGTCAACGCACTGGACAGGGACACATGCAGATCTGTGGGGCATCGAGATGAGACAGTCATCATCTCCCGGCCCGACCTATCCTTTTTCCTCTTCAAAATCCAGTAAGTACGTCATTGATCTGGTTCGTTCACCCTCTAAAATGTCCCCCACATCTATCCCCACTTTTGGATCACCCTCAAGCTCTAGGGGTATCTTATCTGGGACAACCCTGGAAAATTCTCTTGACCTGAAACTCCTGGCCATTTTTTCTGATTCATGGGCTTACTTCATCTTCGCAATAGTACCTAGAACACTCTCTCCTTAGGTCTCCTTTCATACCACCAAAGTACCACGGAAGGCAACCTGGCAAGAGGGAGGGACACTGGATGATGCGTCCGGACACATGGCTTTTAGTGCCACCTTATCCGCTAATTAATGGTGTGACTTTGGTCAAGACATGTTCTCTCTCTGGGTCTCAGTTTCCTTTCCTACTGTCAACTTAGAGGAAAAAAAAAGCCCTCCTCCAGAGAAGCCTCTAAGAATAAATACCTTTTGAGCTGGTCTTCTACCAGAAGGTGGTCTCTGAGGAACTTTCTAGGTCTAACACTCAGGCTCCAAATTTCTATCCTTCTGTCTTTCCTGCTCCCTTGTTTTCCCAGTCTTCTCCCCCCGCCATGGCGTGTCAGTACCACGCCTGACCAAAGCCTCAGCATTTTATCAGAAGTTATTTCCATTCTGACCTTCGCGTCAAGATCTCCAACCAGAAATAGGAAGGGTGAATACAAAAGACCTCTTTCCTTTCCATTGTGTTCCCGGCCCCCTCCACTTTCTAGTGAAAATGGCCTATTTGGAGAAGCCAAAATGCCTCGGAATTGAATTCACCCAAGTAATATACACAAGGTTTTAATTTACAGTTTGGGGGTCTCTGGGCCCCTGCATATGAGTTCTATAAATGAGATGTGTTGCTACAATGAGTCCCATTGGGAAAGGCTGGGCTGAGACTACGAACAGCTGTAGAGCTATAATCCAACAACGTCAGCTTCTGAATCAGATATGAATTATTGGTTCAGTCACAAAGCTATGGATATGCTTTCCCCCACAGGCACTCGCATATGGCCTTTGGCAGAAATGAAAACATCTTTTCCCTCCTTTACTGGGTTTGGTTAATAAGGAATCTTTATTCTGAATACTTTCTTATGTCTTAACTTCCTCTCTCTTTGTTCTCATTCCGATTTCCGCGTCAAGGCCTCCAACAGCCCCCTGCACAAGGTGAGGCCAACAGCTCTTGTGAACTGTTTAGAGCTAACGGAGGCCGAGACATCCCAGAGAGTGGTTCTCAGCCTTGGTTTTAGTACTGGGAACACGTGAGGCTATTTCAAAAACCCCAGGGCGGCCCGCACCGCACCCCCAGGCCAACTAAATTACGAATTCTGGAGTGGGACCAAGGCATTGGGAATTTTTAAGCACTGAAGTGATTCCAATACATAGTCAACATTGAAACCACTGCTTTAAAGTCCATTCTGTCTAAAACACGAACAGCCTTTCTCTCGACCCTCTAACAATGCATAGGAAATCTGGACACAGAAGACTTTTTCCTTGAAGCTGAAATTGGTGTTCAGTTGCTAAAACCAAGACCTGTCTTCTAAACCAAGGTGGGTAGCCAAATCTTCAAACCATTTACCCAACTGCCATACCTTCTGGAGTGTCAGCTTTCTGATCCTGAAGGCATTTGGTTGTGAAGGCTGGAGGAGAGCAGGGAACAATGAAAAATAAACAAGAGCTGAGTCGTAGGAAGGCTGGGGTGGGGGAAGTGTCTTTCTGGTACTACAGTTACTGGGGAGCAGTCCATTCAAATTTAGGGGTTCCGTTCTCTCATCTGCAAACTGAATTTGGAGGTTGGTGAAATACAGCCTCTGAGTGGCTTCCTCCACCATCCCCCTAAAGTCATCAGATTGATCAAAAATATATAAAAGGCTAACCTTTGTTAAACACCGCCCATTTAGACACAGCCACATGCTCTCAGTATAAACGTAACAGTGATAAAGAAATACGTTTTGCCCTTTCCAGAAGTGCCAGGTATTTGGAGAGAAAACCAGAGGGAATTTGGAGGGAACCCTCACCTTGACACCGACTAGAATAACAGAACGACCACTCTGTCATTCGAGCCATGATAGGATCAGAAATCTTTCTGCCCTGGTAGGAAACCCAAATCCCTCTAAGCCCCTTCTTCCTCCTCTGTGAAGGACTGAGCTCACCCAGCACAAGTTTACTGCAGACTTCCGGTTTCTACATGACCACCTTTCAGCCTCTGTTGCTACCCTGTTAGTTCTGAAGCCTTCAGACTGGCTTGGGCATGACCCACGCGTAAGCAGTTACTTTTCCCTTTTTCTGAATAACAAATAGATTGTGTTAAAGGTGGAAATATCATGCTCTCCTTCCTGACTCACTGGGATAATTCGTGCTGGATTTTTCTCTCTACCTTGGCCTTCACATACAATTGTTTCTCTTAATTCTACTTTTCAATAATCCCTTAAACCTCTTGAACCCACTCCTCCCTTTCCATCCCCTTGAAACTGACCTAGTTCAGGTCTTCCACTCTTTTTTTCTTTTGAAAGCACGGAGCCTGACTCAGGGCTCAATCTCACAAACTGTGAGATCATGACCGAAGCAGAAATCAAGAGTCAGACGTTTAATCGACTGAGCCACTCAGGTGCCCCTCAGCTCCTCCACTCTGGGCGCGCGGGCGGGGGGGGGGGAAGCTGTGCTTCAAGAGATATCTGTGGACAGGCAGGTAACAGAGGATGTGCCCGCTTGACCAACCAATCAATCAATGCAGAGGGGATGGGTTTTGAGAGAGGTGAAACCCAGATCTCCCTCTACCTCATAGTCCAGATCTTTGCCATTTCTTCCCCGGGACAACTGCAGCCTTCTCCTAATTGGTCCATTGTCCACTCCCGCCCCAAAGTCTTTCTTGAATAAAGGATATGTAGGAAGCATCTTGAATAAAGGATATGTAGCTAGGACTACAGAGACAGATCCTCCTGGGCCTGGGTTCAAGCAGCTCTCAATCTAGCAGATGAGATACGTGTAAGAAAACCATTGCCACGATCTGGGAAGTTTCTGGCTATTGCAACAGAGAGGAGGATGTAGCAACTGTGGGCTAGAAAAATCAGCGAAGGTTTGGAGCAGAAGTGAATGAACCTGAGCCGGAAGCCATTCCCAAAAGAGAGCGCGGCGTGTGCAAAGATCTGAATGTAGGAAAGATTATGATTCATTTTTGAAACCACAGCTCAATACAGCGGGCATGTCAGGAAAAGGGGCTTAAAAGGGGGCAGGGACCAAATCATGGAGACACCCATATCTGCACTGCAGTGATGAATTTGGGTTGGTCCCATAGTCTTTGAGGTGCCACTGGAGGATTTTAAGTAGGGGAGTCACAATATCACACCATAATTTCAGAATGCTCTCTTTGATAGCAGCTTGGGGCACCTGGATGGTTCAGTCGGTTAAGCATCTGACATCGGCTTTGAACCCCACATTGGGCTCTATGCTGATAGCTAGAAGCCTGGAGCCTGCTTTGGATTCCATATCTCCATCTCGCTCTCTGCCCCTCCCCCACTTGCGCTCCGTCTCTCTCTCTCTCAAAAATAAATAAACATTAAAGAGAGAGAGAGGGAGAGAGAGACAAAGCTTACAGGCAGGTGAAGTTGATAGAAAATGTTGCAAAAGTCCAGGTGAGATTATGGGCCTAGGCTGAGGTGGTAACAGTGGGCCCAGAGAGGAAGTAAACCTTTCTGCTTTCTTTTTATGAAGACATAACTGACATATAACATCGTATTTGTTTCAGGCGTGCAACATAACGTTCCGACGTTTGTAGAGATTGCAAAAATGATCACCACAATAGGTCTCGTTGACATCTGTCGCCATACGTAGTTACAAATTTTAACATACACTGTCTTAGCAACTTTCACATATGCAACACGGTATTATTAACTATAGTCATCGTGCTGCACATTATACCCTGAGGACTTATTTACTTTATAACTGGAAGTTTATACCTTTTGACCCCATTCGCTTATTTCATCCACCCCCCCACCTTCCACCTCTAGGCAACCACCAATCTGTTCTCTGTATCTATGAGCTTGGGTTTGGGGGGGTTGCTTTTTTAGATTCAACATATGAACTCATATGGTATTTGTCTTTGGCTTATTTCACTTAGTATGATAACCATCAAGGTCCATCCTTGTTGCAAATAGCAAAATTTTCTTCTTTTTTATGGCGGAGTAATACTGTATATATTATAGATGTTAACATATATCACATCTTCTTTCTCCATGCATCCCTTGGTGAACACATAGGTGGTTTCCATATCTTAGCTGCTGTAAATAATGCTGCAATGACCGTGGGAATGCAGATATCTCTTCGAGTTAGGATTTTTGCATTCTTTTATTTTTTTTTTAACGTTGATTCATTTTTGAGAGACAGAGAGAGACAGAGAATGAGCGAGGGGAGGGGCAGAGAGACAGGGAGACACAGAATCCCGAAGCAGGCTCCAGGCTCCGAGCTGCCAGCACACAGCCCGATGCGGGGCTCGAACTCACAAACTGCCAGATCATGACCAGAGCCGAAGTCGGACGCTCAACCGACTGAGCCACTCAGGCGCCCCCATGTTTTTGCATTCTTTGAATAAATACCCAGAAGGAGAATTGCTGGATCACATGGCAGTTCTAAGTTTTTGAACCCGATCGTTTGGCATTTTGCAACTGGGTTGTCTGCGTTCTTTATATGTTTTATGTGTAGTAACCCCTTATCAGATATATGATTTGCAAATTCTCATTTTGTTGGTGTTCTCTTCTGCCGTGCAGAAGATTTTTAGTTTAACGTGGTCCCACTTGTTTACTTATGCTTTTGTTGCCCAGG